TTATCAAATGCCCTGGGAAAATATTAAATATCCCAGCGAAAATCCCGGGCAAAATCCCGGGCAGGACATTAAATCACGTGACGCTGGATTTTAAATAAACCATGTGTTTTATCGTATAGAATTAAATGTCCAGCGTCAGCCGAATTAATGCCCCAGCAAAAATCCCGGGCAAATCCCGGGCACATCCCGGGCTGGACGTTTAATGCGCGCCCCCCTGGGCGCCGCGACGCACCCGCCCCACCGGCGGCGAGCCTCGCGTGGCCCGGCGGGCGCTCCGAAGATGAAGGCGGCGACGGCGCCGACCCTCGTCTTCCTCCTCCTACTGCTCCTGCACCTGCCTCTTCCTCCTCTCCTTCCTCCTGCCCTGCCCATCGCCCTCCTGCCCCCTCTGCCCCTACCCCCCAACTCATATTGCCTCCCCCTGCCTCCCCCCTCGCCTCATCTGGCCAATCGGCCCGCTGCCCATCCTCAGCCCCCCCCCCCGTGCATCTCTCGTCCTCGCCCTCCCCCTCCTCCTCCGCATCTCCGATGCCGCGTCGACATCCTCGCCCTCCATTCCGCGCCCCTCCCCCTCCTCGTTTCTCCACCGCCCCCCCACCACCGCCTGTTCTCCCTCTTCCCCTTTTTCCCAATCCGCGCCGTCCTCCTGCCCCCCCTCCCCCTCCTCTCCCCCCCCCCCTCCTCGCCCTCCTCTCCCTCTCCTTTTCCGCCCCCCCCCCCTGGTCATCATCCTTGTTAGCTACGTGCCAATGGCCTCCCCGATCGCAATAAAGATCTCCTCGTCGTGGCACGCCGCCCTGGAGTCGCCCAGCTCCTCGTCGCTCATGAAATCGAGCGCGTCGACAGAGCCCGCGGACTCCAACGTGTTGTGCCGAGCGAGCGACCGGCGGCGCGCGCCGGCCGCGGCCCCGGCCCCGGCTGCCTCCATGACGATCTGGTCCAAGATGCTGGCGGTGTCCTCGGGGCAAACCGGGCAAGCACCCGCGACGTGAAGCAATGCGGAGGCAAGACGATACAGAGGGGGGTCGGAGGCATTAGGAGGGATGTCCTATGCTGAGGTAGGCCGGTACATAATGACGACTTGACGATGCTGACGATGATGCGGGAGGGGCAGCATGGTGTGGATGAGGGGGAGGGGGATTGGGTAGGTAGGAGAATGCATGATGATGGTGAGTATGGTGGTAATGGCGATGATGTTGTTTGGTAATGATGCCGATGATGATGGTGATGATGGTGGTAATGGTGATAGTGGTGGTGATGATGATGACGGCGATGATGATGATTCTGATGATGATGCTGATGATCAGGACGGTGATGATGATGGCGAAGGTGATGACGTTGATGATGATAAAGACCAAGATGAGGGGGATGATGGTGTGAGAGAAAGATAGGGCACGTGATGGGGAGATGACGATGCGATGCAAGGGAGGGTGATGACGACAAGGATGAGCGTCAAGTAATGAGGACTGCTCATACAAACGCCCACCATCGTTTCCTCCCAGCCCTCAAAGGGGGGATGACGGGTGGACGAGACGGAGGAGGTGGAGGGCGATGTAGGACCTGTGGGAATGGGATGACGTCGACGCTCTGAGGCGGAGGGGGGGGGAGGAAGATGAGGGGGATGTCGGATGAGGACGTTGGCGATTGAGAAGGTGGTGAGAGGCGGTCATCGGGCCGAGGAGGATGTAGGAGGAGTTGCGACGCGACGAAGACAAGAGGAGCGCGCGGATGGCGATAAGGAGGATGACGCCACATTTGAAGGAGGAGGCGATATAGGACGAATCTACGAATAGGCACGCGAGGAGGAGGTAGGAGGAGGAGGGGGGCGAGGCAGGGGGAGGAGAAGGAACAGGTGGACGTCGAGGAGAAATATGATCCCCCCCCGAGCGTCCTCGATCGAGCTCGTCGCAGGCGTCTCCGCGACGGGCGCCTGCGTCTTGGACTGCGCCGCCTTCTTGGACACCTGGCACACCTGGGCGGCGGTCTCCTGCTTGTCGTCCTGGGCATTCTCGGACATCTCCCTGCCCTCCTCGGCTGCGGTCCTATGCTGGGCGTCGTCGGACGCGCGGGCGGGCGCGTGCTCGGGCGCCTGCGCCAGCTCGTCCGCCTGGCCCTGCCTGTCGTCGACCTCGCCCTGCCGCGGCTGCGGCTTGCTCGGGCTCCTCGAGGGCGCGCCCGCGACGAGCGCCTTCTCCTCCATCTCCATGGACTGCGCCGCCTCCTCGGACACCTTCTTGCGCTCCTGGGCGGTGGCCTCCTGCTTGTCGTCCCTGTCATTCTCGGACACCTCCTGGCCCCCCTTGTTCGCTTGGCCCTGGTTGTCATCGGAGCCGCCCTCAGCCTGCCCCGTCTGCGGCTTGCTCCGGATCGTCGCGGGCGGCTCCGCGTCCGCGCCCTGGCCGCCCTCTGGAGTCGGCTGCGGCCTGCTGCTGGACTTCGTCGGCCCGCGCTTGGGCTCCGGCTTGGGATTGGCAGCCGCCGCCTTGCTGCGCTTGCTGGCGGCGGGCTTCACCTCGTCTCCTGGCTGGGTCTCCGTCGTCGGCGCTGGCGGCCGAGGCGCCGCCCTGCGCTTGCGCGCGGGGGCCTTGGCCACGGCCTCCGTCTTCGGCTCCAGCTCCTGGGGCGCCGCCTCGCCCGGCATGACTGTCTGCCGGGCCTTCTTCTTGTCGGGCGGGATGGCGGCGTGGGAGGCGTCGGCGTCGGAAGCCGCCGCCGCGCCAGGCTCGTCCTGCGGGTTCCGCCCCGCGCCCGCCCTCCCTCGCCCCCCCACTTTTGGGGCGACTACCAAGGGGGCCCAATCCCACAGCAAGTGGTCGCTATGGTGACTCAGCGGGGCCCTGTCGCCAATGTACAATTTAAGCCTTAAGCTAACGATAGGGCCCCGCTGAGTTACCCAGCGGTTGCGCCGTTACGCCGTAGGTTGCGACCTTGGCCGCCAAGAATAAAACCGCCTCTCATCGGTTGCGCCATGGGCCATAGGCCCTAAGGCCATGATAGGGCCCCCTGCGCCGAAGCTCGGCTTAAACCGCCTCCGATCGGTTGCGCCATTCGCCGTAAGATGCGCCCTCGGCCGCCGACGCACCACCCGCGACGCACCCCGCGACCCGTCCCGCAACCCACCCCGCGACCCATCCGCGACCGACCCGCGAACCACCCGCGACCCACCTGCGACCCACCCCGCGACCCCACGACGACCCGCCCGCGACCCAACAGCGACCCACCCGCGACCCATATGCGACCTACCCGCGACCGACCCACATTAGTAACGAAACAATCGGCACTTGCGGCTGGCTCGAAGTATAATTTGTGAAACTTTGGCGCCTGCGGCGGGCTTCTCCAGAGTCTCGCAAACTGCCGACGTCCCCGCTGCCCCCTCAGTCTTATCCGCGCCATCCGCAATTTGCGAGTGGCAAATTGCACCAATCCCTGACCGTTAGACCCAAATCCTCCACTCTGCCGGCCGCCCGACCGGGCCGAGGGCCGATCGCTCCTGCGTGCTCGGCTCGTCGGCGCCTGGAGCCTGACTGTGCAGCATGGCGCCCAGATCTAGCTGTCTGGACTTTTGCTTCATGGCGAGGAGATCAGAAAACCTGGAGCCTGCTGTCGAATGGCTCAGCGGCCGGCGAGGGCAGCGGCGGGGAGGGGAGATGAAAGGCGGCAAGAGGCTTGCGGCAAGAGGGAGGGGCTGACTGACTGACTGACACACGGCTGTTGAACAATGATGCGTTGAAGTTGAAGCCTTCAATGCATCATTGTTCAACAGCCGCGTGCACGCGCTCACGTCACGCCAGCTGGGACCCCCTGTTGCGCGTGCTGACGTGCAGGAAAAAAAAGGGCGACGGTCGACGAGCGCCCTCCGCTCTCCCCCACGCGCCCGATTGGCTCGAGCGGTGGACAGACCCAGGCCCTGAAAGTTTGGCCTGGAAGCCGGAACGCCGTCGCTCTCTCTCTCTCTCTCTCTCTCTCTCTCTCTCTCTCTCTGTGTGTGTTTTCCTCTCTCTGTGTATATATATATATATATCGCGCTCCCTCCGTCCTCTCTCTCTCTCTCTCTCTCTCTCTCTCTCTCTCTATATATATATATCGCTCTCCCTCCCTCCCTCTCTCTCTCTCTCTCTTTTCTCTCTCTCTCTCTGCCTCTCTCTCTCTCTCTGTCTCTCTCACTCTCTCTATATTCATCTCCTCCCTCTGTGTTTGTGTTGTTTTGTGTGTGCTCTCTCTCTCTCTCTCTCTCTCTCTCTCTCTCTTCTCTCTCTCTCTCTCTCTCTCTCTCTCTCTATCTTCTCTCTCTCTCTCTCTCTCTCTCTCTCTCTCTCTACGCTCTCGCTTCGTCGCAGACGCCTGCCGGGCCCGCCCGCCCCCCGCAGGTTCTCGGCGGGGGGGCGGGGGGCATGCTTGAATCTCGAATGGGGTCGGGGCGGCAGAAAGAAGGGGGTCGGGGTGGCCTATCGGGCAGGGCCTATCCGATAGGGCCTATCCGATACCTATCCGATGGGCCTAGCCGCACTGAGGTCCCGCGGGTTACCCTAGGCCGCCTAACTTCGCGCATCGCGCCCCGCGACGCGCGGCCATCTTCGCCCCCTCGCGCAGGCCGCAACCGCAACCCCCTGGAGAAGGGCAGCTCCCCAGCCCAGACCGCGAGGCGAAGCGCGATCATCTTCGCGCCCCTGGGCCCCCGGGCCATCGGATAGGGCCCGTCGGATAGGCCCTGTCCGTAGTAGGCTCGAGCGGGAAGGAAGGGCGAGCGCGGAGCTTGGGGGATAGGTCCTATCCGATACCTATCCGCAGCCGCCGCACCCCCATCGCCCCGCGCTCCCGCCTCCCCCCCGCTCGGGAGGCATGGTAGGAGAAGGAACTTCTCTCTGCGGCTTTGGGCGCGGGCGCACCCCGCGCGCCCGGCCCGCAGTCCGCCTGAACCGTGATCCCGCCGCGCGCCCCACGTCGGGCCGCAGCGCCGAGGTCTGGCCAGGCCCTGGCCGCGACCGTCAGGGCCTGGACCGTCAGGGCCAGCGCGCGAGCGCCCTCGAGACCATCTCGTTCTCGTCCAGGGCGGCCGCGGCGAAGTCCCTCGGGTTCACATTCAAGTGCAAGGACCTCCCGACGGCGCTGTCGGCGGGGATGTCAATGCCCTCCACGAGCCACGCCATCATGCGCAGCTGGGCGTCGCCCGCCGTGGAATGGAACGCCTTCTTGCACACCTGCTTGCTCGTGTCCTCCGCATTGCTGTGCCCCTTGCACGTCGCGCCCCACCCGACGTGCACGCCCCTTGCGATGGAGCCAACAAAAGATTAGCGCTGCCCCGAGGGCAACTCAGTTTGCGGCAACTCGCCGGCCAAGACCGCGACGCACGGCTACCCTCGCGCCCCCCGCGGATGACCTGGAGGAGAAGGAGGGGGACGGACGGAGGAGGAACGAGGAAGGGGGGGGAGGAGGAGGAGGAAGGGGGGGAGGGGGAGAAGGAGGCGGGAGGGGGGGGGGGAGAGGGGGAAGCGGGGGAGGAGGAGGGCAGAGGAGGAGGATGGGGGGGAGGAGGAGGGAGGAGGTGGAGGAGGAAGCTACACCACACAGCACACAACACCTCCAGACGCCCGCAAGAGAAGCCCAAAGGCCTCTGTGTGATGATGATAAGGCCTCGGTGTGATGATGATGATGATGATGATGGTGATGGTGATGGTGATGGTGATGATGATGATGATGATGATGATGATGATATTGCGGTTCATTTCGTATCCCATACAGCTATCATACCAAAACCCTGCATCAACATCATACAATACGTTGCGTTCAAAATTCAAAAATCCCTGCCCCCGCCGGGACGCGATGCGCGCGATCTTCCACGGGCTGGAAGTCGACTGGAGCGGCCACTTCTCGCCCTGCTGCACCCGCGGCGGCGGCGGCGGCGCCGGCGCTGGGGCGGCGGCCGCTGGCGCCGCGAGGGGCTGCTGCGGCGGGGCCCCAGCGTCTCCAGCAGCGGCTGCCGCGTCGTCGCCGCCGCCGCCGTCGTGGACCTCACCGTCTGTGCTCTCCTCCCCAGCGCTGTCGCCGATGATGTGCTGCAGCGGGCCGCCAGGCTGCGGGCCCGGCTGCGGGGGCAGCGGCTGGCCGCCACCGGCGAGGCACTCGAGCGGGCTGATGACCTGGGGGGGGCATGGACTCCAAAGACGTCTCCGATCCTCGATCTTCGATGCTAGATTGTGTCCTTCTCCTCCTCCTCCTCTTCCTCCTCCTCCTCCTCCTGCTGCTGCTCCTGTTCCTCGTCCTCCTCCTGCACCTCTTCCTCCTCCTCCTCCTCGTCCTCCTCCCCCCCCCTCACCCTCGTCTTCGTTCCTCCCCCCCCTCCCCCCATGCATCCGCCCCCGTCGTCGCCCTCCTCCTCCCCCGCTCCTCTTCTCCTCCTTCCCTCCCCGCACCCCTCCCCCAGGAGGAGGGGGGGGGGGCGGGGGGGGAGGGGGGGGGGGGGGGGGGGAGGAGGAGGAGGAGGGAGGGAGGGAGGAGGGGGAGGGAGGGCGGGTGGAGCGGGGGGAAGGGGAGGAAGGCCCGACCTCCGACCTTGACCCCACCTCCTCTCCGCCTCGGCCTCGGCGGCCTCGGCTGCTGGTCGTCGTCGATCGGGGGGCCGTAGTCGGGGCCTTGCTGCTGCGGCGGGCGCTGGAACATCTCTGGCCAGACGCTCCACCCAGCCGACTCCAAGCCCAACAAATCAACAGAACCATCCCGGCGGCTTTTGTGTGAAAACCGCACCACTTTCACCGAGGCCACGTTGGAAAGAAAGAGGCCCCGGCCAATCGCCCACAAGGTCGTGAAGTCCCAGCGGTGCAACGTGTTCTGGCCTAAACTCACGCTGAAAAGAGCACCGCTGCTGCTGTTGGCGTGCTGCGCACAATTGACCATGCAATGCGTGACCTGTGAGTGGAACTTCCTGCGCTTCAGCCGGGCGAACTAATAGATCTGCGTCCGCTGGACGCCGTCCACTCCAACAATTTCCAAGCCCAAAAATTTGTACAAGTTGCCGGAGCCGGAGTGGAGGCACGCTTCCATGCTCTTAGCAAACAACAGCGTGTCCGAATACACCGCCCCATCGTCTCTGGCGCAAAGCCCCGGGTGCAATTCCGAACAACTGTGGCGGTGATGGTAAACTCTTTCGTCTGGGATGTCGGACGCGTCCTCCACCAACAACGCGCCCTGGTCGAGCGCGAACCTCCGGGCCAGGCGGGCCTTGTTCGCGAAGCCGGGGTTCCTCAAGACCTCGGAGCTCAGAGAGGGCGGCAACGCGGGCGCCCGACCCCAGGGCCCCATGGAACCCCGATAAGAAAACCCCCAAACTCCAAACCCCAAAGGCAACGTCTCAAAGGGAATGAATGCGCTGGGCCCCTGGGGCCCAGGGGCCCAGGGGCGCGCGCCGAGCCGGATGGCGGAGGAGGGTGCGGGGAGGTGGCGGCCTTGGCCGACATAGCCGGGTGGCTGTCCAAGAAGCCCCGCACGGCGGACTCGCTGACTGGCCATTCATCGTCTCCACAGTCCAGGACATCGCCCAGACTCTGGCGCCGAAGATGGCGCGAACATGGCCCGCCCGCCGGTGCACTCCCCACGAGGGGAACTCCCGCCCGTATCATCATCGACCTGTCGTGGTGCCTCCTGCTGTCTACTCCGCCGCGCGCCAAATGATGTTTCATGAGGTCCCGGGTGTGGCAAGTATATACAGTCCGCTCCGCGTTCGGCTGCCGATTGAGGTGGGTCCTGCACGACGCCTTCATCTCGCCGAGGAGCCCCTCCAAGCGCATGTTGGTCGCCTTGTGGCAGGGCGACAACGGCGCTGCGACGGCCGCGATGGCGCGGCGCATAGGCCGCGCAGGGCATAGGCATAACTAGGCAAAGGCCCTACGCCTACCTATGCCCTAGGCGGCCTATGGCATAGGCGACATATTGGGCATAGGCATAGGGGGGGTGGGGCGTCGGGCACACGGGGAGGGTGAGAAATGGACTGGAGGGGATAAAGGCTAAGGAGAAGAAGGAATGAGGAAGGGATGGGAGGGGGAGGGCGACAGGGAAAGCGAAGCGGCAGGATACGGGGGGGAGAGGAAGGGGGTCGCGAGGCAGGAGAAAAGGGAAAGAGGAAGGGGGAAGAGTGGGCATCAAGAGCATCAAGAGGAGGGCGAGGACCTCGAGGAGAAGAAGGAGGGGGGATGAGGAAAAGGAGGAGAAGGCAGGAGGGAAAAGGGAAGGCGGCGGAGGAACACGGCGAATGTCCGCCACAGATCGGAGGCCCCAGAGCAGCCGCGTAGGACAGGCTGGCACGACCGACCCCTCCTCCACGTCCTCCAACTCCTTCTCCTGCTCCTCCTCTCCTGCTCCTCCTCCTCGTCCTCCTCGTCCTCCTCCTCCTCCTCCTCCTCCGCCTCCTCCACCTTCCCCCTCGTCCTCCAACCAAGCCAGCCCCGCCCCGCGCCGGGGGGCCTTGAGGTACTTCCGCCGAAGTTCCTGAATCAGCTTCTTGATCTGCGGGCGCTCCAAATCGTCCTCTGTCTGCAGCTTCATCCGCAGCGGCCCCGAACACCAACTGTCTAAACAGCACGGAGACGCAGCGGTGAAGCTGCCCCGAACGTACTGCTCGCACATCAAGCGATAAGGCCAATTGCTGTACCTACGCAGAGGCGCGTTCCTCCTCCTCCCCCCCCCCGCCGCTCCCACCCCCTGTCTTCCTCCTCCTCCTCGCCCTGCTCCCCGTCCTGCCCCCCCCTCTTCCCCCTCCGCCTCCTCCTCCTCCTCTTCCTCCTCCTCCTCCTCTCCCTCCCCTTGGCTCTTGGCTCTTCACCCCCCTCCCCGTCGCCTTCCTGCAGCCTGCAGCACGGGGCCATGGCTGTCGAGGCCCCGTGCTGCCCATGCTGCAGGATCGACTGTCTCGCCGAACCATCGCCCCGCATATTTATACGCGGGGCATCGGTCCAGCGAGACAGACAATTCTGGGTGGGCAATCACCGGAGGGGGGGCGACGCGGGGCACTTGATCTCGATGCGGGCCCACACCGCCGCCGAGAGCCCGACGCAATGCCGGCGCAGATTGTCGAGGAACTGCTCCTCGGTGCTGTCGGCGACGGCCTCCAAGTACCACCATAAGGAGCGGGAATACTCGGATCCTGCACTGGCAGCCCAAACGTTGCACAACTCCCAGTACTTCATGTGGGTCGATGCTATGATGCCCTTGTCGCTGGTGTCGCAGAGCTCGGCCACGCTGCCTCCGTCTGTCGCGTCGAGGTGCTGCAATCTCAAGCTCATGTGGTCGATCGGAAGCGTGACCAGCAGCGCGAACCCGAGCAACTCCGGGCATGACCTATCAACGACAAAGTCCCTGGCAGTGACCAATCTTTTGTGGCAGTGCGAATGGTGGGAGTCGTCGTCGGGCTGCTGCGGCTGCGGGACAAACGCTCTCTCCAAGACGCGCCGCAGGAGCTGGTGGCACATGCGCGCCCCTGTCTGGCGGGCAACGTGGGGGGCGAACGTGTACCAGCGGTTCTGGGCGGGCAAGTCTGAGCCGACGTCCTCGAACCACAACTTCCACGAAATCTCCACCATGACCTGGACGCACGAGTCGAGGGATCGGCCGCAGCGACAGTTCTCCTCAAAAGGCAATCGCGAGAAGACAACTTCAACAAGTGTGGCCCAGGGCTCCGGGCGAAGGGCGTGCTCCGCCGAAAGGGGCGGGTGAGGCCGGTGAGGCGAGAGGCCGACCAGCCAGGCTGCCGGGCCAGGAGCGCGGTGGGCCGGGGAGGAGATGTTCGCCGCCAGCGCTCCTTATGGCAGAAATGCTGAACCTGCGGGCGCCTGTGGTCACCGTTGAAGCACTCCAAGAACGCCTGCAACATATCTTCCTGATCAGCGTTGACATGGTCGTCCTCCTCAGGGACGCAGCGGCGCAGCATGTGGCTCTAGGTGCGCTCCAAACGGCTGGAGGCGCACCTGGGCCCAAATCTCACATGCTGCGCTGCGCCGCTGCAGTGCGGGGC